GAACTGAGGTAGATAGTAGAAGTTTGAGGGGTGTCCATTTTGTGTTTTCCCACATGGCTCATTTTAACCAGGTGCAGTTTTCTGTGTTCACCTAGTCTTTCTTACAGACAAAAATCATGACAAAGCAAATGCAAAATTTCAATATGTTCAAATTGTTTCTTTGAACACATTGAATTTGACAAATTTGGTGACTTTGAAGTGCATTTCCATTCTCAAAACAAGCTTTATAGTAGAACTGAGGTTATTAAAGTTCTGTGAGGGTTTCTTAGTAGTTAGCCATTTGTATGATACCCATTGAGAATGGGACAAATTGATACTATGCTCAGGAATGATAGTATGCCTTGCTTTATTTTGGCATGTGTAAAATTGAGACCAGAGCACCAGATTTTTCTTCTTTAGAAGTATGTATTTGATAACCAAGTAAACTGTATTCATTACAGAAAAACAATACACAAACGTTTTAAAAAATAGAGCTATAATCCAAGAAATAACCACTTTTTAAAAAGCTTGACATATATCCTAGATTATTTTCAAGAATGAATGTTAATATTTGGAGTTATAATTTGTTTTGATTGCTTTTTAGATTTATGCCCCAATTTTGACACTTGCTCATTATAAATTATTTTTAGTTGTTTTCAGAGCACTATTTATGGTATAAAAAGGTCTGATTATTTGCTTTGAACTCCTTTTTGCTGTGTACCTGGGTGTTAATACTTATTATAAAGAAAAATATCTCAGCATGAATTCAGAATTAAAAGCTCAGTATTCTGGGTTGCATTCTATTTTGGAAGACCTATAGAGAGTTGTCCATTCTCTTAGACCACTAATATCTTGCCCTTGCCAAGCAAGAGACATATTGAAGCCACAAGGGGAAGGAACCCCATGAAGCTCCGTCTCCCTCTCTTCTCCTCAGCACAATACACACATACACACTTAGGCGTGTTTGTCTTTCTTTGTCTCTGCTCTTTCCTTGTGTCTGTACTTGCCTGTCAGTTGGCCTGTCTCTCCCTTGCTGGAGCCATTCATCATGCCCTCCTCATTCAGGGACACAGTGTGCTTTCTCTGGGATGATGCCAGATCCTGGAGAGAGGAGCGCTTTGAAAACTCAACTTGGACTCCCCAGCAGACCACATTGCAGTTATGCTCAGCATCTGGCCACCACTTTGTCCGTTTGATTTAGGGTCCCTAACCCTACCTGTAGTTTGCCTATTTCTCTTCTGATCTGGGAACAAACACTTTTTTAAAGCTAGATAAAATTTTACGAAAAATAAGAAGTCACAGTGAAAGGATGAGGGGAGTCCAACTTAACTATAATTAAATTTGGTTTTGCTCCTTGCTTTCTTGTGGGGGTACGGGGACGCCAGATGCTGTACTTTTCACAGAACAAGTTTCCAGTCCATGATGTTAAGGAACAGCTTAGTTCAGTAGCATGACAAGAATTCGAGCTGGCACTTTTCAGCCAGAATCTTAGTTACTTCCACACACCACACACACACAATCTGTTTCAAGTTTTAGTGAATGAAAAATTCACATGATAGATTGTCATTCTTAGTTTTTAAATAGTTTTTACTGTTATTGAAGTAGAAAATAGAATTTTTTGGAAATATCATTGATACATCAGCAGACTTTTAATGTTAGGAAGCTTTGAACCTTGATTTTCTAGTGCTGAATCCCATATTAAGAGTTAATTGGCAAGAAAAGAAGATGTTAACTAAAGAAAATAGGGAGGATGGCAGTGATGGGAATATAAAATTGAAAGTACAAACTTAGTTACAGTCAGTTCTGCTATAACACAACATGCATTCCTAAAAAATTACTCCACAATGCAAAATTATGCAACAAAAACCACATGAGGCTTATTGGGAAAACAGGGTTATGGCACAACATTCAAAGACTTCATCAGTGACACACACAGAAAAACATAGGAACCTAATGATAATGGTAGCACAGTCTTAACAAATGTTAAATGGTCAAAAAAAAAAATACATAAATACTAGAATAAACATGGCAGTTACCTTGAAAAGATCTGGCATTTGCTTGTGGAAGGCTTGGGAAGGGTTGCAGCTTGACCGTGAAGTGGTGGAAGGAAGTTTTCTGAAATTGGATGAAAAACTGTAGCATCAGATGTGTTTGGATGTGGTTAATAATACCCATGGCGGTGAATTGAGGGTGGGTAGTGGAAGTTTGAGGAGTGTGCATTTTGTGTTTTCCCAAGTGGCTCATTTCAACAAGGTATAGTTTTCTGGGTTCACCTAGTATTTCTTACAGACAAAACTTATGAAAAAGCAAATACAAAATTTCAATATATTCACATTGTTTCATAGTATATCAGTGGCTTTGAATACATTTGCATTCTCAAAACAAGCTTTGTAACACAACTGAGGGTATTTAATTTGATCAAGAATTTTATCTAATCATTTGATCTTCAAAGAAAATACATCACATATTTGCTCTGAGACACCTGCTTGGGAATTGATAACTAGAGTGTACTTCTTAAAAGTCAGAGGTTCTAGTTGAGTGTTACCTCTGTCATCTGCATACCATAGACATGCTATTCCTTTAGTGCATTGTTTCAGGGGGTACATGACGATTTTTGTAGATAAACATGGATGAATATTTTAATGTTTAGTTATGTTTATATAATAAGCTTATTGAACTTGAATTTACTGTTTAACAGATGCTCTTGTTTTGGAAAAATCTATCTCATCTGAAGATAGAGGTGCCCTGCTTCACCCTGGGGCCCATCTGGAAATGGATTGGCGGGGGGTGTTCAGGTTGTCTTTGGCAGACGAGCACTACTGGTGATTAAGCAGTAAGAGACTAGGAATACTAACATTCTTGAAATCCTGTATGAAGAATTGTCCCGTCCAAAATACCAGTGATGCCCCCATGAGAGACTGGCTAATATTAAAGAGGAGGAGGAAATGATGGAATTGATAATGTAAATTAAAATGTTGAGTAAAAGTTAGTATTTTATGTAGCTTTGGTAAGAACAACGAAAATAGTTTGCACTTGATGGAAGTTTGGAAAGCACTAGTTGAGGACAAGTACTAGCAGTGAACTTTATTTGACAAACCGTGTAGTGCCTTATACCATGTAGTATTCTCAGTGCAATGCAGATGCTAACTTACTCAGCTGTGGTTAATGGTTCTTGAGGCATTAGCCTAGTCTAGGGCAGTGTCTCAACTATGGCTGCACAGTAGAATCAAACAGGGAAACTTGTCAAAATCTGGATGCCTAGTCTACACTCCAAATGAATTAAATCACAGTCTCTGAGGGAGGGACCTATGCATTAGTGTTTTTAAAGCTCCTTATATTATTGCAGTGGATAGCCAAGGTTGACAACCACTGGTCTAGGGCCTTCCAAAAATCACTCCTTTTCACAAGAAAAGCTTTACCAGTCATGCAGAAGTTAATTGAAGACCTCTGTCCCATGCCTTACAGAGAAAGGTGATAGAGACATGGCTCACAGAAGCTCTATCGTCTGAAGCAGGTGACAAAACGGCAAACACATGTTTACGGTCCTGGCTGACAAGTGCTGATGCTTGAAAGTATGTTCAGAGTGTTTTGGGATCATAAAAGAGAGTAAAACTAAAATTTAAAAAAATCATCAGATGACAAATTTAGAAAACTGTTAAACTGAATTTATTTTAGATTTTTCTTCCTTATACACAACTTTCATATTGGAGTGAACAAAAAACAAAAGGCACTTATAAATCACTGTCAATTTAACCATCTTAGCTTGATTGTAGCCTTTGTGTAGCTGAGTTGGAGAATAGGTATTTGAATTTTGTCTGTACATGATAGCTAGGATAATAATTTTGTCCTGGTGTGGAACACACTCTAAAGTACTTCATAAAGCATCATTGAAGTACTGCCCTTTCAGGAATAAGTCACCATAGGTTTACCAAGAAGCTCAGGACTGCTATAAGAAGACCTTTGGAAATAAACTGCTGAAGTCTTACTTGGCGGTATTGAGTCTCATGTACCTAATGTTTTAAGTACTCATATAGCTCCTGTATTGTGATAAATCATTGTTGGATCACATGCATTTTAAAATTTAGAGTTAAGCAAATGTGTAATTTTAAATTAATTAATTAAAGGCAGCCATTGAGGCATTCAAGTGGATAAAATTACCAAATAATTTACTTGTTTCTGATGGTAACATTCTTCAGCAGCTCTTGATTTATGTTAGTGTGGATTACCTTACTCTGAGAAAACCTGATTCTCCAGTGGATAGATTTATTTTCAGCTAAACCTTTGTAGTCTATACTTAACCATGAATTACTTCCTGGTTTAAAAAACAGGCGTAGCTATTTGTGGTATTTTTGCCTTGCGCCTTTGGCATCTTAGTGGTGTGAACCGGAGCTATGCCATCTGTAGTCAAGTGAGATTATTTTAAAAAGGGGTGGGGGGTGGGGAGTAAAATGATTCACTGGAAAATTTCAGCACAGATTCTTAAGGAACGGTAAGATAACCCTAGAAACATTCTTATTTGGTGTCATATGCTGGTAGTGATAGGGGAAAAAAAAAGAAGGTACAACTTGTTTCTTAAGATTTTGCTATTTTGAAAATCAGAGAGGTGCTGTGTTAGAAAGGAAGAAAGAACTGCATGCAGTGTCAATTAGCAGAGCTCTGCAGTTGAATGAATAATTTTCCTCTCTTAGTGTGAGTTGGAGCCAGTGAGGTTCATTTCTAGCATGCAAAACCCAAAAGGCAATATTCTCATATTTAGGATGGTTGTTTAATTTCCTTATGGGTATACGTGATACAACTCTTTATGCTGCGATACTTCAGAAACAGGAGGACCAGTTCCTAGAATGTTAAGTAAGTCTGTGGGGCCTGGATAAGCCATTTCTGAAAGCTGCTGGGTTTAACATATCTTCACTTGATGATATATTAATTATATATATTGATTATATTGGTTTCAGGGAATTCTTCCAGAATTACATTTGAGATTTGTCTGAAACATATCTTTTTTTCTTCGTTTTCATTTTCAGAAAGAAGACATAGCTCATCCAGCAAGCCTTCTTTGGCTGTTCCTCCCACTTCAGTATTTTCCTTCTTCCCTTCTCTGTCCAAAAGCAAAGGAGGCAGTGCAAGTGGAAGCAACCGTTCTTCCAGTGGAGGTGTTCTTAGCGCATCCTCATCAAGTTCCAAGTTGTTGAAATCGCCCAAAGAGAAACTGCAGCTCAGGGGGAACACCAGGCCAATGCATCCCATCCAGCAAAGTAGAATCCCCCATGGTAGAATGTGAGTATGGCCAGGAGGGTTTTTAAAGCCTTCCTGCTGGAAATGGAACTGTGTACATCAGTGGCATCTGAGAGTGCCTGTGAATAATATAAAAGAGAGCCCACTTGGGGAAGAATTCAAATGTGTGTTATATTATTTCTCGATTTTTCCCTATCATGTCATAGAAAACTTTTCAGAGTAGTAATAGCAATGATTATAAGGTTAATAATATTTATTGATCCATTCTTGGGGGCTAGCTACTGAAACCTAACTTTATGTGTATACTGTATCACTTATCACAACAACCCTATGGAATAAATACTGTTATTATCCTCGTTTTCCAGATGAGGAAAAGGAAGCCTAGTGAGATGGGGGAGTTTTGTACAAGAAGGCCTCAAGACACATAGGTCTGGATTTATGTCCCACTTTTGTCACTTTTTAGCTGTAGGGATTTGGGCAAGGCACTGTTTCTTTCTGAGTCTAAGAATAACAGCAACTGTGTTGGGTTATTAGGAATATTCTAGTTAATATATGTCCAGCACCTAAGTGTCTGGCCATAGGAGACAGTTAATGAATGGATATTGGCACTCCTTCTACTGCTGCTGTTGATGATAGTAATGACAAAAAGCTGCAGAGATTCCCAGACGCTGCTATATAATTTTCTGGGGTCTGCAGAGCAAATAGGGAAGCAGTGCTTCCTCCCCTCAGCCTTAGGTTCACATCACAGCAGTGATGAGGGAAGACTGAAGGGGGTTCACACCTGCCAAGTATGGCTTTGGCAAGTTTCCATGGTTGCTCAGTAGATTGGCAGGCTTCTTGAGGTCACGTGAGGGAGTGGCCATGCATTCCCATGAAAACATACCTCGCCTTGTCTTGGTGTCCTTTAGCCTGGTGGCGGGTGGCTTTTCCCGGGCCCGCCTGCCTTTGGAGGTCATAGGTCCAAGGTCTGGTAACCTGGTTAATCTCAGGGCGAGGTCCAGCACCTGCTGCTGCATAAAGACCTTGCCAGCTGGGAGAGGATGTGACATCTTGCAGTGTCTCTGCTGCTCTCAGGCTTACAGCTGTTTGGGGCTGTTTGTTCTGGTGGCTAAGCCCCCACCCCCTTTTATTCCGTCAGAAGTATAGTACAGCAAGTTTGGTTTTTGTTCCAGGAGCTGTCTCAAAGCCAGAAAAACTGCCAGTGTTGTGTGTAAGTCACTGGCCAGCTTAACAGCTGTTTGAACACTGACTCCACTGAACAAAGTTTACACAACCTCATTGATTCAGATCGTCTTAACTTAGAGCTAGGGCTTTAGATAGTAACCAGGACAGTTGTTAGCTTCCTACCAGTATTTTCAGTTTTACCAAGCAAAATGATAGTGTCAATAAAGTTCCAAGATTCTTTTCTTTGTTAGTGACACAGGCATTCCCAAGCTTCTGTCATAGAAACATTTTTCAAGGACTGGAGAATTACCACTTTAGTAACACAACATATGTTTATTAAACACTGGTCTCCCTTATTGACAGAAGCAAAGAACCTCTTTGAGATATGTTTTTAAGCATGTTTGAATTCTCCTAAGTCTTTAGTGACATTTGTTGGAAATACTTGCTCACTTAGAAGTTTACTTTGTTTTGATGAATTCTTTCTTAAAAATGGCAGTCCTAGAAAGATTCTCCAAGGGTTCTCTAGATAGTGTTTGGTTCTTTTAGACCCTCCTTCTCATGTTTCGCTTCTTACAGAAATTGCATTGCATTGGGTACCAGGTCTAAGGCTCCCATAGGCTCATGTGTAAAATTTTTCTGAAATGATAAAAGACCAGGTAAATTTGATGGTCCACTGAGGGTTTTGCCTCACCAGAAGGGCTATAGACTTAATAAGTGTGAACCTTACTAACAAAATTCATAAGGAGCCTCCAAGAGGCTGGCCCTCTTCAGCACTTGGATAGACCCAGGCTCTACCTCATCCCTCTGGCTCACCATTCACCTGGGGGCTGCTGGGGCACTCAGGCACTGGTTTTCTCACTTCCTTCTATGACAGCATGACGCCCTCTGTGAAAGTGGAAAAGATTCATCCGAAAATGGATGGCACACTACTGAAATCTGCGGTGGGGCCAACCTGTCCTGCTACTGTGAGTTCCTTAGTCAAGCCTGGCCTTAACTGCCCCTCAATACCAAAGCCAACCTTGCCTTCACCTGGACAGATTCTGAATGGCAAAGGGCTTCCTGCACCGCCCGCTCTGGAAAAGAAATCTGAAGACAGTTCCAGTAATAGGAAATTTTTAAATAAGAGATTATCAGGTAAGTTCAAATTTTCTTTCTTCATAATGCTTTTCTACATATTAAATGGGCATTTATGGGGAGCAAATCAACTGCAATCTAGAATTCCTATTTTTAAACCTGGTCAACTTTACCTTTAAGAGGAAGTTCCTTAGTTAATATGCTTGTTCTCTTCACTCTTGGTTTTTAAAGAGCATGAGAATGTGTGTGTGTATGTAGATCATATAAAAGTAGCTTTCTAGTGGTGTATTTCTGAAGGAAATAATACAGACTTAAACAATATCTTTCCTATCATCTGATGGCAGTAGTCACCCAGTGTCTTAGTGATGTTGCTGCTTTGTTGCAGTGCTCACATGTTGTATATTCTTTATTTATTGATAATGTGGATTTTATTCCAGCTATAATTTAACTTGATTTCTTCTATTTTCTTACTTACAAAATACATGGAGGAGAGTTTGGCAGTCCACATGTAATGCCTGTGTTCTTTTGACAGAAAGAGAGTTTGATCCTGACATCCATTGTGGGGTTATTGATCTCGACACCAAGAAGCCCTGCACCCGGTCTTTGACATGCAAGGTAGGTGGACTTCTAAAAGTCAAGCCGACTGTCCTGTTAAAAACGGGAGACTGGGATGTACCACACTATTCCCAAAGTCTCTCTAACCCAGAGAGGATGCTCTGGGGATTGTTCTGAATGGTGTAGGTGAGGGAATAACTTGGTTTTGTTGAAGAAAGCCTCAAATTGACAAAATGTGAAGTGTGTTATAAATTAAAATCTTGACAGAGGTTTTGTTTCTAATGAGCAGTGTTGAATCCAGGGGAACAGTGTTCTTTCCCAGTCTGTTATTTTTAAAGACTTTGAATATTTCCACACAGAAATTTAATATGAGAGGCTATCCTTGACTGTCGTTTAAGTAATACTGACTTAAAGCAAGTCCAGAAATTTCCTTTGCATGTGTATGAACATTTAAAAAATGTGTAACCCATGGTTCTTAAATTTTAAAGGACGACTTTTTGAAAAGTCTGTGACTTTAAGATAGCCCTATTTTCTAGTTTAAAAAAAAAAAATACTGCAAGTCAGGAATACCTGTAAGTCCCAGCTTGTGGGGAGGCTGAGGCAGAAGGATTACTTGAGTCTGGGAGTTCAAGTCTGGCCTGGATGACAATATGATACCTATCTCTTTTAAGAGAGAGAGAGAAAAAAAATAGATAAAATATATTAATAATTTATGTACAGTCTAAGAAAATGTAATGGTCTTCCTTTTTGCTCTGGGATCTTCCTTATTTTCTTTAAAATGGCAGTATGCTAATAAGAAGGTGGTATATTTGCTGAAAAGTAAGGATTATTGATTTGGGGGTGGCTTCAGGTCATCGGTAAACACCTCTACATAAATGAGCATATGTGCATTTTGTCCCCAGCTATCCTCCAGAAAGATTCAAGAAGTATTAAAAGTCATTGCTTTGAAGTGTGTAATTTTAAAACATTGGAGGGATAGAGAGTGAAAATGATAAAAGTTAGCATTTCCTTCTAAAAATTAATAAAATTATTAGTGTTTTATTTTACATTTTATTAAAGTGTATTTGTATAAAGGACTTTGGGCCCTGCCCCACCCCCGAACCAGTGGAGGCATGTTACAATCTTCTGGAGTGGGGAATTTTTAAGTGGTTCTTATTTTAATTTAAGCTTCTAATTTAATTTTAATGTATAGATTTTGTCTCACAACAGTGGTTCAGAGCTTTTTTGGGAAGAGGGTTGGTCAAGAGTGCCTTTATCTCATTTAAAAAAAAAAACAACAACAAACCATGGTCCATATTCCCAGAATAAAATAGTGCATACACATATACATTCTGAAATTTTCTGTCTTGGGTTATTGGACACCCCACTCTAAGCCCATCCTTGGATTTCTAGGTTAAAAACTCTGTTAGAACAAACTTCTTTTGTTTTGTATAGGGTACTAATTGAACACACAGTGGTGTAGTGGTGGTGGTCTATGAAGATAGCCATCTGAGCTCTGTAGAATTATGTCAGTTTTAGCTTGCCCTTAAGAGAATGTGTGAAAGCATGCCTCAGCCCTGCAACATCATGATTAGTACTTATCATTCTCTTTCTGCCCTCTTCCTGCCTCTACCCGGCTCTCAGTAACATGGATTTCTCAATAGTATAGTACCTACGGGCAATGAGGTGTGCTTTTTTAAAACCCAAGATGCTCTTTTTAAATCATTTATAGAGTGTGGCAAGGAACCACACCTTTTTTCTTTCTTTCTTTCTTTTTTTTTTTCCCCTGAATTTTATTGTGATGAGAACACTTAACTTGAGATCTCCCCTCTCTTAACAACTTTTCAAGTGTGCAATACAGTATTTTTGACTGTGATAGAATATTATACAGCAGATGTCTAGAACTTGTTCATCTTGCTTAACTGGAGGATTATGCTCATTGATTAGTAACTCCCTATTTCCCTCTCCCTTCAGCCCCCTAGAAACCACAGTTCTAGTCTTTAATTCTATGAGTTTGATTATAGATCTCATATAAGTGGAATCATGCAGTATTTATCTTTCTGTGACTGGGTTACTTATCTTAGCATAATGTTCTCCGGGTTCATACTTGTTGTAGCATATTGCAGAATTTCCTTCTATTTAAGGGCTGAATAATATTCCAGTGTATGTATATACCACCTTGTCTTCAGCCATCTGCTGACAGACATTTATATTGTGTCTACATCTTGTCTTTTGTAAATAGTACTTCAGTGAACATAAGAGTGCTGATACCTCTTTGAGATTCTGATTTCAGTTATTTTGGATGAATACCCAAAAGTGAGGTTGCCAAAAGTGTGAACTCAAAATCTTCAGGAGCTTGACTAGCATTCTTCTTGTGCCTTTTTTGCTAGGTGGACTGACTTTGAATGGGTCTGCACTTTTCCTCCCATCTTCCTTTTTAAATGATATGTGTTCCCATTGTCCTTCTTTAAGGGTATATTACTCTCTGTGGCATGGGGTGAAACCTGTCATCTCATTAATATGTCTTCAGCCCCACCTTATCATGAGATCAGCATAGAACTGGTAGAAAATGCAGCATCCACCAGGCCTGCCCTTTTACAGGATACCTTGACTTTTTTTTTTTTATTGTTTTGTCAGTTCTTTTTCCTTTCCTTGCCTTAACGTTGGTCTGAATCTATTAAGCTTGGTGGGGCTAAAGATTCCTTTGTGTCCCTACCCTGAGTGTCCCTACCCTGAGTGTTTCCCAAATTGCTGCCAGGTCTCTCTGTCTTAAACTTAGAACATTCTCTGCTCTCTTCACCATCAGGGAATTTGCCTGTATTTGTTCCTGTTACTCATTCTCTATTATCTGTCTGCCACCCTGACTGCCCCTTCCTCACTTTTTCATCTGTCTAATATGCTGTTGAACGTCCTCTGTGCCTTCCATGCAGAGAGATTTGTGACTCCTGTAGCCTTTGTCCACTCACTCGTTGTAGAACTTTTTATTACATACATCTGTGAGCATAGGCCTCGCTTATTCTAGGTCCCAGGGGATAAAGGTTTTAGCACAGTCACCACGTGTTCCCTCTGCTTGTGGAGTATATAGCCTAATGAAAGAGATGGAGATTAATAATCACCAAAATAAGTATAAAATTACCACTGATGAGTTATAAAAATATGAGAGGACTACGTTGTGAAAGCCTGCAACAGGGAATTTTGGCCAGGGAAGCCTTTCTTGCCATAGGAACATTGGGCTGAAATCAATATGATAATTTATCTGCTCAGAGAGGGATGAGAGAGGCAGGAGAGGTGGAGGAAACAATATGTGTGAAGGCTCTGTGACAGGAGCAGAGCAAATTCCTTAAAACCTTAAAGCCAGCCAGGTGGTTGAACAGAAAGAGGGAGGGAGAGTTACGTGGGACCATAAGAGCAGGGAGCAGTTAGCAAGGGTCTTAAGAGTGTGCAGGGCCACTGAGTCTAGTTACTAAGTCAGTCTTCATCCTGTGAGCCTTGGGCAACCTCCATTGGATTTCTGTTTGGAATGTTCTTCACAGCTCAGTGGAAACCCTACTTCCTCTTCAAAATGAGCTGGGAAAATGTTGTGTCTGCCTGCTTTCTTTATTTGGCTTTATTATGCTAGGCACTGGGGACATTCAAGCTGAGGAGAGGTTTATACATCTGCTTGGAGAGACACGCAGGTGTACCAGTAATGTTTTATGTTCATTTGTTCTTTCAACACATGTTGGAGGGCCATTATTTTTATAAACTTTTTGTTCGAAGCATTTATTCAGTGTCAGATGTTCTTCTAGATGTTGGTATAACACAAACAAAACAAAGTTCCTTGTCTTCATTTAGGTTACTTTCTTATGAATATTTTCCATATTAAAGAAAACCAAGTAAAAATGTAAAAAGCTAAACACATTTATGTGTGCCAGGTTAGATTATTTAAGTAGACATAGTTTGCAGTGTGTCGTAAGGAGGTGGGTTGTGTTAGTCAACCGAAAATGGAAGTTAGAAGCATAATTCCCCCTTTAAGTCCCTAAAGTTGTAGCAAATATGCCAATACATTTTTATTGTGTGTAGGGGCAGACACACACTTTTACAGTATTTTGTAATATAAAAGAAGGAAATGTGGGTGAATTCATGTATGTTTATGGATATGTGGTTAGGGCCACTGTAGCTCATGTAAACTAGTCCACTCCTCAGGATTAGTGTCTCCTTGCATTTGTACAGACTGAGAACTCAGCAGTATGGAATGGTCAGGTTTAACTTGACCTGAAAAGTCATTTCACATGATGGAACTTGATTATCAATAAGGTTTGCCCAACTCTGACCAGTTCACACCTGTACATTCAACTTTTATCTTCTGTTAGCAATGGAATAGGCTTATTTGTTTTTGTTTTGTTTTAATGCCAGTAACTGTGAAATGTGTTTGGACTGCAGGCACATTTGTTTTAATAAGGTTTGCTTCAACCACAGGTTTGTATTGATTGTCTTCTTTAGACAAACACTGCCATAATTTGACTTTCCTTTTTCTCTATGTGTTCGTTTCTTAATTCTGAAATTAGACATTGTCTGAAGACCCAGGGGTGTTGTCCATCCCATTTCCTTGATTTCCATAGCCAGTATCTGTAGCGATTACTTTGTCTCCCTTCCTGTTCATAGCGTTTCCCAGCCTCATCTTCTATCCAGTGTTCCTTGGCTGTGGCAGTCTGCAGAATGCTTTGGGCCACTTTCTCTTTACACATGGCATTTTCATTTGGAATAGAGAGACGCAATTGCTTTTTTGGAAGTTACTAAAAGAACACTTTCTGATACATGTTTTGTGGAATAATTGTTTCTTTAAATTAACATCCAGATTTTTAAATGGTCTGAAGAGGGTTTTTCTAATGGAGTTGATAAGAGCCCCCAAAACCAAATTGTTATTATGTCACAAAACATGAGTACTTGTCATATGTCACTAATGGTTACACTTAGTTCATACCAGGTGTCACAGCTCACATTTCTTTTTTCTTCTGATGGAAATAACATTTCCATATTCTTTTGCATTTAGAGCCTAGAATGTGTGCTTTTGGTCTAGCTAGGGAAAAAAGATTGGACCCTTAAGTTTTTTAGCTTATCAAGTGCTGAATAACCTTGCACTTTGCTTATGGTCTAGATTGCTTTTTAATTGGGAATGGTGTTTTGGGATATAAGGCAGACCAAAAATTATTAATGAGATTCTTCAATTTTTGTATGTCTTTGGTCCGCAGACACATTCCTTAACCCAGCGCAGGGCTGTCCAGGGTAGAAGAAAACGATTTGATGTGTTATTAGCCGAGCACAAAAACAAAACCAGGGAAAAGGAATTGATTCGCCATCCGGACTCTCAGCAACCACCGCAGCCTCTCAGGGACCCGCATCCTGCCCCTCCTAGAACGTCACAGGAGCCGCACCAAAACCCTCACGGAGTGATTCCTTCCGAATCAAAGCCTTTTGTAGCTAGTAAACCTAAACCTCACACCCCCAGTCTTCCAAGGTAAGCCAAGCCCTCCAACTCTTTCTCCCTCCCTCAGAGATGAGACTTGCAAATATCGTAAAACCTCAGTATCATCATGATGTTGAGAAACATACCCCAGGCTCATTGTGGAGATAGTTTTTTTTAAGGGAGTTTTGCTTTAAAAAAAAGAAGAGATTGAGTGCACCACTAAGTTTCAACCAGGGCTCCTCTTGGTTGTAAATGCAAGCAGTGGAATATAATTAAGAGTTACCTGGTCTATACTTGCTCAACATCAAGTGCCTCAACCCTGTTGAGCAGGCAGAAATTGGGTCCTTCTTATGGGTTAGTGATGGGAACACTTCACATGGCTTTGGCAGCAGTGTCTCTCATTTGTCTTTATATAGCAGTGGGAATTCTTGCTGGGGACAGGCATTCAGCCTGGGTTTTTACAGCATCCATTTATCAATGCGTTTTTTCATTCATTCATTTGGGGCTTTGGTCCGAGCATGTATTAGCATTTTAGTGGCAGAATAAACAGTGGATCAGAGTTTTTTAATGAGAACTTATACCTCAGAGACAGTGATGGTGGAATGTATGTTTGGGCTTACATGTTGAACCAAGTTGAAGTAAAGACTACCTAGCTTCCAGAGGGAAGGGAAAGAGAAAGACGTAGAGAAAGGGGCTTCAGTGTTGGCATTTATTGGCAGCAAGAGCGTCTGCTGAGGAATGTGCCAGCCCTTGGTTGCTAGTACTTACTGTTTCAGCCTCACATGTCTGATCCTTAAAATGGTTGCATAAAGGTGGAAGCACCTCCCTCATAGAAACACAGGTGTCTGTTTGAGCATATCCCAGCATGAGCCTTGTGGTTTCTGTGCAGTATGCTGGATCAGAGTAGGCTCCCCAGAGTGTGGTTAGGTTCTGGCCAGAGATTCCTTCCCAAGTCCTTTCTTTGGTCATCTCCTTGTTGAAGTTTTTGCATTTAGAAAAATGTAAGCTTAATTCCAGACCCATGAGGCCATTAAGGGTGTAGGAAAAACACATTACTGCCCTTGAGTAAGAGGCTGTAAGCTATCCACATAAAGTGGCAATACCACCTTATTCTTCTGTCACCTCCTGTCTCTCCTAGGTTATCTTAGAGCACTTTGAGAATTATAGTTGGCCCTCTGTATCCATGGGTTTTGCATGTGTGGATTAAACTAATTGCAGATTGAAACTATTTGGGGAAAGAAAAATTGTGTCTGTACTGAACATGTATAGGCTTTTCTTTTCTTGTTAGTATTCTGTAAACAATACATTACATAGCATTTACATTGTATTGGGTACTAAAAGTAATCCAGAGATTATTTCAAATACATGGGAGGATGTGCATAGGTTATATGCAAATACTATACCCTTTTATATCAGGCCACTTTGTACATTTGTGGATTTGCTGATTTTGCTATCCCCGGGAGGTCCTGGACCCAGTGGATACTGAAGGATGACTCTGTTTCATTTATTGTCCTAGTAAACCAAATCCAGTTGAAATTTGAAGAGAAATCAAAGAATTCTGTTAAATTCCACATGTATTTCCCCTTCTTTGGGGGAGAATAGAAGAGGGATCTGAACCACCCAAATGGCAATAGAAAGGATTTATTCTAAGTTACCTTGATTATATCTGGCAAACAGCTGAACTTAACATCCTGCAATTCAGGAGAGAACTTTACTCCCAAGCCACCTGGATCAGCATCTGTTTTCCCCCAGTGCTGGTGGTGGAACCCAGGCCTCCCCTAGGCTGTTTTGGATACATTGTTGTATCTCAGTTAAGGTGGCTGATTGCCAGGTGTGTGATCTGATCCGTGCTGCACTTTCTACTCACCAAGGCCTCCAGGCTGCCCTGCTCAGCAAGGTGGGAGTGCCCCCATTGACCCTCCTCCAGTCCATGAATCTCCACACCCTCCCCTGCCTGCCACTGAGCCAGCTTCTCGGTTATCCAGTGAGGAGGGCGAAGGCGATGACAAAGAAGAGTCTGTTGAAAAACTGGACTGTCATTATTCAGGTCATCATCCTCAGCCAGCATCTGTAAGTTCCACGTCTACCCCCGCGTTGACCCTCCCCACGCAGCATGGACAGGGCACTGCAGAGGGGCGCGCCAGGGACCTTGACATGCCCATATGTGTGGGACTCGGTCATGATGTGAGAGCAGCTCAGAACAGGGTGCCCCGGAGGCAGCACACAGTCGGTACTGGGGACGTCTCATGATTTTTTCCCTTTCTCTTCCATGACACTCAGGGCTAGGCATTGTCACTTTCATGCTTCACAGCCTCTGGTACTCAGAGGCAGTTCTGTCTTTCCTGGTTAGCTCCTTTGCTGAAGGAGAGAGAACCCTGACGGGGCATGCCAGTGTGGGAGTCAGCAAGCACGCGGCTATGTTCTCTTTTGCAGTTTTGCACATTTGGGAGTCGGCAGATTGGAAGAGGCTATTACGTGTTTGACTCCAGGTGGAACCGGCTTCGCTGCGCCCTCAACCTCATGGTGGAGAAGCATCTGAATGCACAGCTATGGAAGTGAGTGCCTGTTGTTCTTTGGGAGAGGAGCTGACTTTACACAGTGCTGCATTGTCGTCTTATTTCCTGTGAAACTGATGTTATGAAGATAGGCTTATCTAAACGAAGCTGGCCTTTGGCCCTGAGAAGAAGGTGCTTTGTCATTCATTCATTCGTTCCACAACTACGTATTGTTCTGGGTGCTGGGGTTCAAAGCAGAAGGACTGTCACATGTGTGGAGGTCACTGTCTAGTTGGAAGTCAGTGAGGGGAGAAAAAAATGGTCTACAGAAGAGTAAGGAGATGATAGCTTGTCCTAAGGAGAGAATGGAAACAATAACAATCACCAATACTTACTGAGAGCCAACTATGTACCAAACAACTTAAATGTATTTAACGTTCACAATTCTCTGTCAGGTGACCATGATTATAGCCTCCCCCCGACTCTTGTTTTGCTTTTTTTTATAGGTAACAAAACTGAGATACAGTGTCATGCAGCAAGTTAGTGGTAGGGCCAGGAATTGAACTTAGAGGTAACTTATTTTCAAGTACAGAGCTGAAAATATACAGGCCAGGGGGATTCATGGAACACCTGTCAGAAGAGGCAGTCTTTGAACTGAGGATGGATGAGAAAGAGCAGTCTCTGGGTTGTGCACAGCAGTGGGTTCCAGGCAGAAGGAAGCAGCTGTGTCAAGGTCTTGAGTCAGAAGAGACAGCTTGTTTGAGAGACAGCAAGAAAGTGAGCATGGTACAAGATGAGGTCCAAGAAACCAGCATGGGCCAGGTAACACAGAATTGCTTCAGTTGAAGGTTTTAAAAGGTAGAGGAGCCATGTGCTCCAGTTTGCAATTTAAGACACCTTGTGTGGTACTGTGTAGCTTGTACTTCCCAAACAGGATTTTAAGTGGAAGAAGAGTTCCATGGCTAAAAAGGTTTAACTTTAAAGCCTTTCCTGAAAAAAAAAGAAAAAATTGTTTTGTTTTGTTTTTTACTGCAGCACTTCTCAGAGCCTTTAATTGGCACTGTGCTTTGTAACTCTTGAAGCAGGGAATGTCATGTATAATGTGGAACATGTCCCAGGCTCTTTTGACCTTGGAACCTTTTTTAGAGGAACATCTTGGAGAACTAGTGTTTGATGGGATTGACTTTGGTGAATAGTAAGCTTTGCTAAGGTGACTGTCCAGTAATCAGCTCATCCCAGATCCTCTGTTTGGGCATCATTTATTAGTGCCTCTTTAAATGGACTCTGCCAGTACATTCATTTGCCTCCCTGCCTTGGTTTTCTAAAGTCAGACACTGTTGGGAGGCCTTGGATTGTCCACAAACCGAAGAACTATCTCCATGATCATTAGTAGGACTTAACATTTGTTTCCTTAGAGGACCAGGTCCAGAGCACTGTTACTCTACTTTTCTTTTTCATGTTTTTTCCTGGTTCTTACTGGATAAGAGATTCCTCTTTATGAAGGAACGTTGTCCCTGCTTAGACACAGAATCTGGGGAGTGGTTTTGGGGGTTCTGCAGGGTTTTTTCCACATCAGAACTCCCTAAGATACCTGAAATCTCAACTTTATATTTCTTCAGACTACTCACTGGAACTTGGAAAGCACACTGAGCTCATGAAACTATGGGTTTAGTGTACTCCTAAAAGTTTAGAAAGGACTTCTGAATGTTTTATACCCGTTATGATGGTATGTGCCTCATGGCCAACAGTTTGGGCCAGATAGTTTCAGTTCCTGGTGGCTTGGATGGTGAGACTTCCCTCTTGATGTTGTGAACTTTTTAAAAAGCAGGGTCATAGGGTCGACTCTGCTGTCTACTCTGTTCTGTCTGAAGGCTGCCTGTCTTACCCATTACTTCCAGGGAGAGGGAAACCGACCCTTTCCATGAGCACAACCACTGGTTTTTAAAAAGTCAATACAGCAACAAGAGACGTGTTGCCCAGTAATAAGTTGGCACGTAGGTTTGGGGCAGATGGGAACTTCCTGCATGATGCCACCCCACATAGGAGTGCTGGCGGCCTTTTCAGGCAGCCCTTGAGATTTGCTGCGGGGAGCTCAGCACTTCTCACCCAGAGAACTGTTCTCACCCGACATCTTTGAAGCACTCAAGGAAACTTTCAAAGAGGTCCAAGTCCCATCCTACTGGCTCAGCCCAAAATTCTTCCTTACAGGGTTTGTGTGGTAAAATTGGAGGTAAGTAAAGTGGGAATTGAGCATGAAAGAGTAATCTCCAGTTTCTAGAGTTCGGCCAACAGTGAAATTAGGCTAGCACTTTCTTTGCAGCATGGCCATAACCCAAAAGGCCACTGCCCAGCTCCTACGATTTCTGTGAACTGCTTGTCCTCTGTTGATTGGGGACCACTATCCCATACCCCTAAAAAGGGGCTGGGATGGTTTTCAAAGGGTTTTTGTTGGTGGTGTTTTTTTTTTTTTTTAACTTTTTGAAATGGTAATACAGTCATTTGGCTTAAAAAAGGAAATACAAGTATTAAAAGGCATACACTGAAAATGCTCAGTCCTCCTGTCCCCTACCTGTAGGTTTTCTACTCAGTCCTCACAGACATTTTTATTATTTTTTGATGTATCCCTACAGAGTTTATTTATGCAAACACAAGTCAGTGTGAGTACGTATTGTTACTTTGCCTCTTGATACACAAAAGGGTAATTAACTACTTAAAAGAGCTTTTCTAAGAGAAATTTATAATTGCCTCTCTGAGAGAGCCACATCCTTCCTTGCTCCGGAAGGCTTTTCCTTTCCTCAGGATTTGGTTCCAGGCAGTCTGGTCTTTAGTCTCTGGCTTCCTGAGCCACCTGGTGATCATGAGAAGCCGCTGCTCCCAGGGAGCAGTAGCACTTGGACTTTAGAGTCAGGATTCTGGATGCCCCCGAATCACCCAGGGGCCTTGTTGCCGTGCAGATTCTGATGCATTCATTCTGGGATGGGGCCCAGAAACTCAGCTTTCCTAACCAACCTTTCAGGTAATTAATGACAATGCCTGCTGCCTTCCTCTATGAGTAGTGCAGAGAGCGCCTAGCCTCTCAACCTTGGCTCCACGTTAGTCCCCGGAAAGATTTATAAATTACTGATGTCTGTCCCCACTCCCTGCAGAGACTCTGGTGTAATTGGTATGGATGTGGCTTAAGCTCCACAGGTGATTGTAATGTGCAACAGCTGGAGTTGAGAAGCACTGACGTCAGGCCAGAGCTGCACCCTTAAATGGGGTTTTGGGGTTTTTTGTTTTGAGACAGGGTCTCACTCTGTCGCCTAGGCTGGAGTGTGTTGGCATGATCTGGGCTCGCTGTAACCTCCGCCTCCCAGGTTCAAGCAATTCTTCTGCCTCAGCCCTCTGTGTAGCTGAAATTACAGACGCGCACCACCATGCCCGGCTAATTTTTGCATTTTTAGTAGAGATGAGGTTTCACCACGTTGGCCAGGTTGGTCTCGAACTCCCAACCTCAAGTGACCTGCTTGTCTTGGCCTCCCAAAGTGCTGGGATTACAGGTGTAAGCCACCATGCCTGGCCGAATGGGATTTTTAAAGCATGGGCAAATACTTTTAGTCATTAATGTATTTTATTAATAACAGTAGTCTTTAAAAGCATCTGGAAAGCACTGGGCAGCAGTCTAGGCCAGTTCTCTCACTGGGGTAGTGGCCGGGTCTGCCAGGGCTACCCCATAAGTCAGGATCTAGGCAGTCTTGCCACTTGCCTTCTAGTCAGGCCTTTTTCTCTTCTGCCACCTCAGCTTAAATTCTGCCAAAGAAGTTTTTGAAATTGTGGCACTGTCACATTTAAGATTAAGGGCTAAAATAAAAGGAGATACTCCCTGGTTTGAATGTAGATGATTTCCTCATCCCCTGAAAAATACCTTGCCCAGACATTTTTAACAGAATCCATTGTTATAACACCATGCTGAATATCCCTTGAAACTGTGGGGCTTTTTTCCCTGACCTTGCAGTTGCTATTAATTAGCTGCACCCTTCCTTTTCTCTCATTCGTTTCTGAATTCTCTCAACATTTACTGAGTACCTTCTGTGTTTTCTGCACTACTGAGCACTAGGACTACAATGGTAAATCAGCGTGGGATGGCTCTCTCTGCAGAGGAGTTGGTGGTTAGCAATCCAACACTTAAAGGATGAGCAGAAGTTGGGGTATTGGGTCATGACATTTTCTCAGAATATAAGGAAGATAAGCAGCTGGAAGCAGGGAAGGGGGTGTTGGGGGTGGGAGGTGGAGGTAGAGGTAGAGGCTGGGGCGGTAGCAGCAGGGAGCTGCACACACACAATTACTCTAAGAGCCCCAGGAAGGCATTAAAGAATTTGAATGAGAGAGGTAACAGGATTGGCTTTGTGGTTCAGAGTCATCGCTTTGATGTGGATGGTTTCTCTGGGTCATAAGCAAAGAGGGTGCCATCCGAAAGTCTCCATGAATGGCTGTGGTCATTGTCACTCACTGTCCTCTCATTTTTTCAGGAAAATCCCACCAGTGCCCAGTACCACCTCACCCATCTCCACACGTATTCCTCACCGGACAAACTCTGTGCCGACATCACAATGTGGAGTCAGCTATTTGGCAGCAGCCACTGTCTCTACATCCCCAGTCCTGCTCTCGTCCACCTGCATCTCCCCAAATAGCAAATCGGTACCAGCTCATGGAACCACACTAAATGCACAGCCTGCTGCTTCAGGGGCGATGGATCCTGTGTGCAGTATGCAATCCAGACAAGTGTCCTCTTCATCCTCATCCCCTTCCACGCCCTCTGGCCTTTCCTCGGTTCCCTCCTCTCCTATGTCCAGGAAACCTCAGAAATTGAAATCCAGCAAGTCTATGAGGCCCAAGGAGTCTTCTGGTAACAGCACTAACTGTCAAAATGCCAGTAGCAGTACCAGTGGCGGCTCAGGAAAGAAACGCAAAAACAGTTCCCCACTGTTGGTTCACTCTTCCTCCTCCTCTTCCTCTTCTTCCTCCTCCTCTTCTTCTCATTCCATGGAGTCTTTTAGGAAAAACTGTGTGGCTCACTCTGGGCCTCCTTACCCTTCAATGGTAACATCTTCCCAGAGCATCGGCCTCAACTGTGTGACAAATAAAACAAACGCAGTGAACGCCCGGCATGACCAGTCAGGGAGAGGCCCCACCAGCGGGAGCCCTGCTGAATCCATCAAGAGGATGAGTGTGATGGTGAACAGCAGTGATTCCACTCTTTCTCTTGGGCCATTCATTCACCAATCCAATGAACTGCCTGTCAACTCCCATGGCAGTTTTTCCCACTCACACACTCCTCTAGACAAACTCATAGGAAAGAAAAGAAAATGCTCACCCAGCTCGAGCAGCATCAGCAACAGCAGCAGCAAACCCACAAAGGTTGCCAAAGTGCCAGCCATGAACAACGTCCATATGAAACACACAGGCACCATCCCAGGGGCACAAGGACTGATGAACAATTCCCTTCTTCATCAGGTAGGAAATGGACTGTGAACCCCATGGGAATGCCCATTTCCTCTCCCTTAGGATCTTTTGTCAGCTCAGAAATGTGTTTGGTTGGGTTGGTTGGTTTGTAAACAGATACTCAGCTTCATGATGTATTTTTAAAAAGAGAGAGAGAGTTCACGGCCATATGAAGGAAACACAGGCCTCTTCTGCCAGAATATCTGGTGCCTTTGGAAGATGCTCTTGGGTAAAGAAACTACAGTAATGTGTTTTTGGTAGATAAAGCTGCAGAAAGCATCAGGCATGACAGCAAAATCAGAATTGAAGGGGAGTCCCTCTCTAAAATAGCCAGTAATGTGTTGTCCCGATACTCTGAAGTGTGTACCATTCAAGGCTTTAAGGAAGGAAACAGGCAGTTTTTCCTGGATAGTGGTTCTCTGTTAACGTTCCTCTGAAGAAAGCTGGGATAAGATCAGAAAGGGGTGATTTAAGGTTTAAAATGAGGCCAGGTGCGGTGGCTCATGCCTGTAAACCCAGCACTTTGGGAGACCAAGGCAGGCAGATGGCCTGAGGTCAGGAGTTTGAGATCAGCCTGGCCAACATGGTGAAACCCCGTCTCTACTAAAAATAAAAAAATTAGCTGGGTATGATGGAACATGCCTATAATCCCGCTACTTGGGAAGCTGAGGCAGGAGAATCGCCTGAACCAGGGAGGTTAAGGTTGTAGTGAGCCGAGATTGCACCACTGGACTCCATCTAGCAACAGAACAAGACTATGTCTCAAAAAAAAAAAAAAAAAGGGAAGAGAAAGAGCATTTATTATTTTCCCCCTCGAAGAATTTCAGATATTCTGGTTAAATCTCACTCCATATTTTCTCTTCCCATTTTTGAGAGAGGCAGGAAAACAGGATTCAGTATGGACATAGCAGAAGACTGAAATCTCATTCCAAGCTCATAGTTTAAAAAGTCTGCATATGAACCCCATCAGTAGAGAAGTGGCTGATGGATGTGAGACTCATAATTAACTATGACTTTCTGTCTTAGGCTGTATTTTTGTCTCTTCCCTGCTCTTCTGCCTGTTGCTGACCTCACCTGTAGCTGTTTCTTCCAGCTTCCTTTGCTCTAACTTCCAGCTCATCTCTCATCTTGTTATTTTATTCATCAGGATATCTCCTCACGTTGCTTACGAACAGGAATTTCAGCAACATCACCCCAGAGCCCTGACTTAAAATGTGAGGCTCTTTTTTATGTTTTTTTTCCCCCCTTCCTCTTCTTCAGAACTTAACTCAAATGCTAGCCAGGTTAGGACTTTATCAGAAAATACCAAGAAATTTCTTAGTGTGATATATAATTTTCCTCTAACATGTGGTTGAATTAACACCCAGTGCCAAAGGTATGGGGAAAATATTTGTGAACTTAAGTAGCTGCATACATTGAGTTATTATGTGTTGTTTAGCATTCTGATCAGGGGATTCCTAGACAAATGAGAAGTGTGCTTTCCCTTCTTGGTTTGTAGCTACTCATTACAGTTTATAAGCATTAATCCAGTATAAACAGAGAAGACATGGTGTACCCATTCTTCAACACACTGTCTTTGAGAGTAGAGTCCCCAGGAGACGTGATCCCCATGGGAAGGGCATTCCATTGTGCTGTAATGCCCATCTCATATCTGTATTAGTGAGCACACTGTCTTCATTTAGACAGGAGTGTTGATCTCAATGCCCACAAGTAACAGAAAGGACAGAAGGGGCCAGGTGGGGCACAGCAGAGATTGGCAGTGCCTGAGAGAAATGCGGAGACGTGGAGCAGCTGCTTCCAGACGTTTGTTACCTATTTTAAGGAGAGGCTTCAGATCTGGACTTGGATGTGAAATTTAGTCTACACACACACACACACACACACACACACACACACTTTTTTTCTCTTAAACCTGGTATAACCTACATATCTGTGGGCCATCTTTGGCGCATTACCTGCCATTTTGCCACCTTTGATTTTTACCATGTAGTGGCACTGTGTCTTACAGGAACAAACCAAACAGCCTAACTTTGGGCTTTTTCCTTAAAATCAGTTTCCACTTAAGTTTGTGCTTGAGAGAAATTTTCTCTGTGCAGAGGAATACTTTTTACTATGCTACACAAATCCTGGGGCAGGAAGAGGGGTGCTTGCTTGGAGATCAAAGGATCTTCAGAACCCCAAGAAGTGTTGTACATTTTTATGTCTTTGTTCATTTATCGTATAGCTTTCATAAGAATCTCAAAGGGACTCATGACCCCAAAACGCTTTAAAGAATGCTGCTGTTACAAAAGTAGGGACCTCTACTCACTGTTTCCTGGGAGCTGCCTTTAAAACAAAAATAACTGAGCTAGTTGAAGTTTTCTGAACAAGGGCATGAAGTATGGGACATGGAGGGAAGCCTAGAAGATGACGGGGTTGAGCAGGCACCCCTGAGAGTGTGTTCATGGGCCCTGCCACCACAGATGTAAAAACGGCCCACTGTGAAGGCCAGAGTTTCCTATCCCCCAGCAGGGGCACTGCCTTGAGTGCGAACTGTCACACCTGTGTGTGCTAGCCCTTGACCTTGTTCCTTTCTCAGCTAACAACCTGGAATACCTTCAAGGACACAAAATCAGTAAATAAAACCAAAAGGCAAACATAAGAGCCTTTTCTCTAAGCTTAGAAACCCAGGCCTGCATCTCTTCTAGCCAGTTGTGAGTCTGCAATGATTGTGCCCAGTAGTAGTGAAGGCTATTGAAAGCTAAGGCCAAATTCTGTAGCTGACCGTTCTGGCATCACTCAGTTCATGGAGACTTTAATAGCATGCAGCCTTTGGAATATTCTTGTTTAGAATCAGGAGTGCAGTATACAAACACTTACTTACCTTTTCATTATTTCCCCACCCCATCTTTTTTGAAAGCCAAAGGCACGTCCCTGACAGCTGAAAACAGCACGGGGAGGAATAATGCGGACACTTTTGAGGACAAGTTACACCTCCACTCAGCACTCTGGACTCCACGATGCCTTTGAGTCTGTTTTCCTAACCTCCTGTGGGTCTCAAGGGTAGAAACCTGCCGGGCTGTTTTAACGAGGATTACCCTGAAGCTATGTCTGTAGCAGTGAGTACTCATAAAGGACACTGGATCAAGTTCAGCCACGGAATTGCTTTTATCAGTGTTAAAGTGGTCTGGACTGCTTGCTACCAATCTGTGAGAAGTTTTTGTTTTGTTTTTTAACTTGTAGTATATCATGGAGCCACTCTTCAAGTAGATTGGCTGGGCAAAAGAATGTTTTGGAAAGAGCGTTACTGTAGACCTTTCTCCCTCCTTCCTTTTACTACCATTGTTTTAAACACTGTCATCTGTAGGTCACTCTCCAGCAGTTAGGCACCTTAACTGGAGACCAGAAACCTTCCAGAGGAGAGAGGGCTGCATCCTGACCAACCCTCTGAAGAAGGGAATTAGGCTTTAGATTTTGTCAGCAGTGTTCCAGGAATGAATGGACATTAGCCTAAGGCACCATGACAAAATAGCCCAGCCTTAAAGTAATTTGGGAACAGAAGCTGTCAGAAGTTTCTAACTTACAAACTGGTTTGAAATTTTTGATGCCCAGACAGCAAGTATAAACTGGTTTGGAGGCTTACTTTTCGTGATACAAAAGCAATTCTGTGTGATTATAAAAAAAAAAAAAAAAAGAAGAAAGAAAATGCAAGCTAGTTTGGAGAAATGAAGGCCAAATTGGGTTGGGGGAGGGTGGGAGAAAGGAAGTTAAAATCACCATAGGGAGAACAAAACTTTTTGCAAGATTTCCAAAGAGATGAAATTTTCTTAATCCTTTAAGTTTTCATGGTAAACAGTATGTCAGATTGGGTTGGTCGTCCTACCTAGTCTATTTTTAAAAGTCACCTTTTAAAGTGACATTATTAGATACACTTAAATGTTTTGAAGGCACTCTCTGCATTACCCTTCTTTTCCTCTTTGGATGCTGTCCTGGGACTAAGTGTAGATTTCTGCTTCAAACGCTTTTGGATTGGGTGTGTATGCGCTTCCCTCATGCCACTCCAGATGTTTATTTGGATGTGGCTGGGGACGAGAGCAGGCACCAAGGGAAGGGAATTGGAGAATGTGTGCGTCCGACCAAATCCTATATCACGGAATTGTAATCTGTGTATAGGATTGCCCTGATACACGCCCTCCTTTCTTTGGATTATACCAGCCATCTTCCTGAGAGTTTTGGAGCCCTCTAAGATATTTTTTCTAGTACCTCACCCCTAAAGAAAGAGCTTAATATGTTAAAACAGCATTGCTTGGAGAAGGTGTCACTGAATTAGAGGATGAGCTGGAGCCTTTAAATGGGTGATGCAACCACTGCAGGCTCCTGACAAGAGAATCAGGCACTTTTGCTTAGAAGAACACACAAAGTTGCCGAACACAGGGTAAAATTTCCAAGGCGCTGATCATTGCTCTGGCCAGGGCTTGATGAGAGCCAGTCAGTACATCCTTTTTTTCCTACAATTCTTGGGTTTCAAACTTCAGTTTCAGGGAATTTCAAGTCAACAACAGGTAGAATGAATAAACTTGGTTACCAGCCTAATAATGTGAATTGCTACAGAATTTATTGTGTAAGAAAACAAAATCTTTATGCAGATACTTTAACTATAAATTGATGTAAAATACTGATTTTTTTTAAAGGAACGAGAGAGCAGTATCTTGTTCAATTATTATGCAATCAATCAGTAAATGTTTTTAAAATGATACTACAGGAGAGCTTAGTAAGGAGAGAGCATAGATGGGCCAGTTTGGCATAGTTAGGAGAAATCAATCTGGTTTCCATCCCAGTGGGGAAAGAGAGAAGAGGTGAGAGGGGATCAGAACGTACCTAGTTGATTCCTTGGTGACAAGTGCAATGGGGTATGGGTAGAATTTATTTTCAGAGCCAAGGGGACTTGATGGTTATAAATAAAGTTGCCTTTAGCAATGGAATTTATAATAAGATCCACGATAAGTTGATTCAGAATAATGTAGATATTTAGATTAGCAAGTATTGAACATTTGATTTCTTAGACTGAGGTTTTAATTGAATTTCATTTTGCCTCCCGGTAACACACAGAACATCGGGATTAGGAAATTAGCCATTTTGGATTCTGCCTGCCACAAACAGACCTATTCTAAACAGTGCTATTAAATTTTAGACTGTTGTTCAAATATTTTATTTTCTCCTACAACTACTTTTTATTATGAACAATTAAGACCATTTAAAACACTGAAGTATTTTTTTGAATTAAATTAACTTGCAAAAACCAAATTTGCAGTGGTTGGGTTGTTTCTAGACAGACTTTGGTATCAATTTAAAACCAAGATAATTTTTATATTCTTTCCAATAGAATTTCATGACAACTCCTGCAGTTTTCTTAACCTACAAAAAAAAAAAAAAAAGTGCTGCAATGATGAACAAAGAATTATACAAAACCTACTTTTGTATCTTTATTTTGGAATTTCCTGTTCTATTATAAATATGGAAGTATCCCTATTTCAGAAGACATATTTTGTTAAAAATGAATTGTACATATTTAAATATGTATTTTTGCACAGGTCTTTTTTTCTGATACCCTGTTTTGGTACAATTGAGATCATCTAGTATTTATTTATTAATTAATAAAAGTAAATACCTTTTTATAATTTGAAGTGGTTCACTGCCAAGCCAATAGTTCTAGAACCTGCCTCCTTTACAGTTTAAGGGATGCCTCTGTTCTGTGAAAGTCTTTGTCTCTTTTAATGTCTTGGGAGTGGATTCATACAGATGAAGTGGGCATTGCTTCTCCCTAGTTGCCTGGTTTCCCTGGTTTCCCGGTAGACTACATGTAACTAAGTGACACACTGCTTTTCTTTTGTTAGTATTTTATGTGTGAGAGTGAGTATGTGATTGTGTGTATGTGCGCATGTGTGTACACTCTGAGCACATGAGTGTTAGTATGTGATGTGGTTTAAAACTAATGGAAAAAACTGAAAGTGCCTGAACCTAGTTTTAAGCTTAGACAGAATCTCTTTAAAAAGACTTGAATGTTCAGTTGAACTTTTTGGAGTTTGCTTTTTCCACCTAAATATTGTTTCTAAAATTTTAGAGGAGGAGTTGAAAACCACCAATGCTGGTAATTTTATAAGGTATTTTAAAATTAAGACCTTTTGGTTCGTAGTAATTCAGTTTTCAATTGGTGATGGATTGCCTGGTGACACCAAGAGTTACAAATCTTTTTGTCAGCCAGCAACTTACACGATGTGTCCATTTTGTTATTCACTCATGAAATACAATTTAAAATATTTAAAATATTTTGTATTCCAAAAATATAATACAAAGAAGTACCTCTGAGAACATTGAAAAAATGTATAATTTGAAAAATGTAACTTGTAAAGGCAGCTGTCTTCCTGCAAGAGTTCTGTTGCCAAGGAATTTCTTAATGTCTTTCATTCTGTCCAGGGGGGTTGGGGGGATTGGGCTTTGAAAAATTATTGTTAAAAGTTTCATTGTTTAGCAGAAAATAATCATTTTTACATTTTGTGCAAACATTTTACATTTTCAGATCATTTAAATGAGCACTACATACTGTCAGTGTGAATGTAGGGCCTTGAAAGCATTTTGCTTTT